ATCTATCTATCTATCTATCTATCTATCTATCTATCTATCTATCTATCCATCCATCCATCCATCCATCCATCCATCCATCCATCCATCCATCCAATCTGGAAATAGATGCATACATATACAGTATATAGTTGTTTGCATCTGAGCACACTTCATTGTGTCAACACCAGGATGGCTGAGTGTTTAAGGCGTTGGACTTAAGATCCAATGGGCATCAGCCCTCGTGGGTTCAAACCCCACTCCTGGTAATCTGTTGTGCATTTTCACTTTCTAACTCAAATTTCTGTGCAAAGATGGTGTCCTAATGGAAAATGTTGCAAAATTCTCTTCATTAAAAGATAAAATAAGAGTGAAAGTTGATTTACATTTGGGAAAATCAACAAAATGAGTTCCACGGTTCAAAGTACTGACCTTAAAAACATATTAAAATACAAGACTGTGTTCCTGCCATCTATAGTTATTAGGAATTGAAGTCGACCGGACTCATTTTACAGAAGCTGCCATGTTGCATTTTTTGGCCCAGTGTTTGCACACCAGGTTTAAGCCCCACCCACTTTCCTGCACACAATTATTCCATAAGATGAGCATTGTTTTAACCATAAAACAGCTAAAATAATTAGAGAAAGGAGTATTTGAACATGCAACAGCAAAGTAATAATCACTTGTCTACACCTGAAAAAACTTTCAGAGGTGTATTCATTTTATTTTACTAAGAGCAAAGTCAAATTGTTTATATAGAGGGGCAGGACTTCAGACTTGCACTGGGGCCACCCTGTGGGCCGGCTTTAATGGCTCCAGCTTCAACTTCTGGCTGCACATATGAATTCTAGTAATTTAATGCGTGTCCAAGGGCTTGGGGTCCTGCAGATCCAACCCCCTCATTAAGCGATGCACAAATGAACGTCAACAAAAATGTTGGTAACAAGAGCAGCATGGTGGTTTAACTGCTGCCTTACAACAAGAACGCCCAAGGTTTGGGTGAGGAGTCTCTCTGTGTAGAGTTTGCATGTTTGAGTGGGTCTTTCCAAGGTTCTCCAATTTCTTTGCCCAGCCCAAAACCATTCGGTTGCTTTGGAAACCAGAATCTGTGATGTCAATGGGAATTACCTGGTTAAATAAAGGTTAATAATAAATAACTTGCACATCATGATGGGTCTCTATAGTCATTTTATTTCCTAAATTCTTCTCCTCCACCTTCATCTGTCAATCCAAAGTGAGCTGTAGTGATGGGCAAATGAAGCTTTTCTGAAGCACTGAAGCTTGTTATGAAAAAGGGTTCATTACTGAAAACTTTTTAACACTGTCCTCTTTGCCAACATCGTGGTCAAAAGTATAAAGATCTGCTTGAAACCCATCCATTCATCCATTCATCCATCCATCCATCCATCCATCCATTATCTTTACTTGCTTCTTCCGTTTTGGGTCGTGCGGTTTCTTGAAACCACAGCATGAAGTGAACCGCTTCACCGTGGTTGTCCAGACGACATGGGCTGTCACTTTGGTGCTTTGAACATTGTTTTTGTAGGTGAAGACTAAAGCGATGGCGATTTGATGAATAAATAATTTGGATGAATGAACATGTTAAAACATGGCATGATCCCTCATTGCTTTTGACTTCTTGATGATTGTAAACAGATTAAAAAATTTAAAAAAATCACATTTAATTCACAACACACCAGTTTGCTTGTGCTGCAGGTTTCCTGCCTCCCAAATGACTAAAGAACCAGTTTATATTTGTTGTGACATCAGATTGTAACTTACATACAAATAGTGATTTTTTTTCTCTCCTTGGGATAAAAGTGCTTATGCACTGATGAAATAAACACATAAAACGCATCAAGCTCGTTGGCTCCATGTCGGGCTAAATGTTACTTGCTGATTTGTTGTATTGCGTCACTAAAACACACCAGTCAGTGATTTACTTCCTAAACAATGTGGTACCAAAGCAGTGACCTAGTTTTGGCACTTTTGAAGCTTCGGACGTCGTCGCTCATGTGACATTTGTCAAAGGAATCAAGCTCCGACACAAAGCTTCATAAACTATATATATATATATATATTATCATACATGCCCCGGAGCTTCAGCTTCAAATGGCCCATAAACTATTGAGCGGTGAGCGGACACTGGGAGAAAAAAATTAGACAAGTCTCCATCTGAAGGAGTGATAAAGTTGCATCACACCATATTGTTCGCGTATAAGTCGCACCTTTTTGCATAAATTAGCATCCCCTGCAAGTTATCCAGCGAAGCAACTTATTTATGTTTTATGTGTTTTATATTTATAACCCATTTTTTTGGGGCTGAGATCTTATGATTTCATTCATTCTGACATGGAAAATATTTTTACATTACCATTTTCAGCCACTAGAGGGCGCTCGAGCAATATGGCAAGCCAAGTGTCGCATTAATAGGCAAAAGTGGCTATTAATGAGACACTTGGCTTGCCATACAGAGCCACCTTCGTCTCGCACCGGAGCTCCTGGAGCAAACGTCAAATCCGCTGCGTTTCGCTGCGCCATCCAGGCAAAATGCAGCGGATTTCATCGTCAAAGTGCATTTAAGGAAAAGTTCAACTGAGACGCACTTTTACTATAATTTTGAGCAAACAAATAATTGTCTTTAAGTGTTAATCTTGTTAAAGTCCTCCTGCTGCCGCCAATACTGGCCCACGTTTCCAGGTTGTCAGCGGTGACGCATAAAAGATGCGACGTATACGGCAGCAAGTACGTGATGTTTGAGGTCAAGGGGGAGAACTTAATAATAAGATTACATAAAGTGTCTCTTAGTTATCCTTCATCTATTTAATTTGTTTACTCTTTCTGTTGACATATAATTATATTTTTTTGTTTTCTTTCTCTCTCTCTTCTCCGCTTATACCTAAAGAATATAATCAAGGACTATTAGAAAATAAGAAAATAACAATGCAAATAAGAAAATAACTGCCAAAAATAAAGGAAAGCAACCCATATGTTAAACAATTTCATTGTTTTTTTTTATTTTATTTAATTGTTGTTAGTCTGCAATATTTGTTTTATGTACACGAATTGGTGAATAAAGTTTTATAAGAAAGAAAAAAAAGCGTAATCTTTCCTTTTCTTGTGAAAATACAGTTTAAAAATTGAAATCTGTTTCAAGATGTCATGTTGGGATTCATCTCCAGGTTACAAACATTAAAGATGTGACAAGGAAGAGGTCGGGTCGCTCGTCTTTCTGTGAATTAACATGACTATTAATAGTTTTTCTTTTTTTTAATCAGTCTTTTTATTAATTGTTCATTTCGAACATATAAAACATAAAGAACACAAGACAAATAAAGATGCCCCTCCCACACGGGATCAGTCACATAAATGAATTAAAATGAATTACACTGACAAGTTTCCCACATGCAACATAAAAAGCTGCCAAAATCAAAATCTGTTAACAGAACGCTACAGGCTCAATTAGAAGTTTTTCAAAGAACTCCTTAAAACTGAAGGGCAGACTTAGAGTTGACGTTCTCCTCTACGGACGACTGACTGATGAAAATTCACATAAACTTACCAGCTTCAAGAACTTTAATGAAATGTTTGTGTTTTAGTCAGAAAGACGATGCAGAGAATTTAAATTTGGTTCCATCCATCGTCTTTACCCGCTTCTTCCTTTTCAGGTCACGGGGGGGTCACTGGTGTCCATATCCAGCAGTGGCTGTAAGAGAGGCGGGGGACACCCTGGACATGTCTCCAGTCCATCACAGGGACACACAAAGACAAATATTCACTCTCACTCGCACTTAGAGACAATTTAGACCACCCCGGCTGGGATTCGATCCGACAACCTTCTCGCTGAGAGTCAACAGCTCTTCCAACTGAAATGTTTCTTCCAGACAATACTGAGTCGAACACAAACGTCCTTGCTGGTTTTAAAGTGTCTCCTGAAGCAGCGTCGCCTGCTCACCGTGTTTGTTGTAAATCCTTATGAAACTAATTAAAACGAACCTCATCACAACAAAAGTGATCAGCGCTGAGGCAAAACTAAATAAATCTGATAATCCCTGACAGCTCTCCTTTGAGCCTCAAGGCTTCTGATTTTACACAAGATTTAGTCAAACTCCTCTCAGTCATTCCACCTAATGTATAAAGTTGGTCTTGATGAGGTGAAATAGTTTACGTCACATCAGGACTGTTGAATGGTTAGGCACCAGTAAGCACCAGTAAAGTCAAGGTTTTAGTACAAACAGGAAGTATTAAGACTTTACTGGTAACAAGTCTGAGCAGAAAATGGCACAGTTTATTCAGTCTCATAAAGTGGGCTGCTGAAAACTTTTCATGTCCGTTAATTTATGTTTTAGTAAAGTTTTATTGAGTTTAGTTTGATGGAAAACAGCTAAAATACTGGATTCCTCCAGAACCAGCTGAAACTGTGCCTTCATCACAACAAACGGACTTATCTCCTGCTTAAGACTGAACATGTTCTCACGTCACCTCCTGAATTTCTAGGTTTAATAAGAAGCTACGAGGAACACGACTGCGCCATCCAGTCTGTTTGGTTACACACCTGTCAATGATTCCACACATGTCAATCAGAAGGTTGCTGTGGTTCCCCAACAGCTTCTGTTGCACAAGGATCAAATCCACGGGTTTGTTGTCCAGAGTGAAGGAACGCATGCAGCCTTGGAAGGTGTTAAAGTTGCTTCTGCATCCCCGGCCGTGTTCAGCAGGACAACCTGGGATGAAGAGGATCCGTTTAAAATATATATAAATATATATATAAATTAATAGTTAAGAGTAATGATGTGCTCCTCGGTTTTTGTATTTGTTGTTGGGTAGATTTTGTTTAATTCCTTTTGGTATCATGTTTAAATTTAATTCATCATGTTGTTCCTTTTTATTTAGAGATTTTTGTCGTTAGTTTCTCGGCCTCTCCCAGAGTTACATTCAGTCATTCCTGCCCTCAGTCTCCAATTCTCAGCTGGTCCTCACGTTCAGCGATGTTCACTCAGGTCATCTGGACAGTTTCTTTTTTTGTGCTGAAAGGTTTCACCTTCCATCCAGAAGGCTTCATCAGTCAGTGACAAAACTGGTTCTTCCCCCAACAACTTACTCCAAAGTGGAACAAACCAGTTCTGTTGGTGCTAAGATGGTGTCTTTGGCACAGCCCCTCTTCCGGTGCCGGCCCTCTCCCTCGTCGACAGTCATGTCAAACTGGTTCAAAACCAAAAAAATCCATGCTCAATAATCCAGGTTTACAATCCAACAGTTGTCAGTCAGGTCATCTGGACAGTTTCTTTTATTTTTTGATGACCTGACGAAAATTGTTGGATTGTATACCTGGATTATCGAGCATGGACTTTGTTGGTTTTGTTCCTCATGTTCCTCACAGCCAAACTTCTACGTTTGGTTCACCGTCACTCATCAGCCTGTCAATCTGTTGATCTGCCTGTTTCTTTGTCTGCTTGTTCCTCCTGCGCTCCTCAAAGGTTTGGTCTCAGTTTTAAATGTCTTCTTGCCCTGTCACCTGTTTCTTTTTGTTAACGAAGTCCAGCTTTGTCCTCTAGCCCTCGTGTTCCAGTCTGCATCCTTTGGTCCTTCCGAAACCCGTTCTTGAAAAGCTTTGCAAACATTTGCCGACAATCTTAAGGCTGAACTGTTAAAGGTTTTTTAAAAAAATGCACCACACTAGCTAAAGTTGTTGCAAAGGACGTGCTAAAATGAGCAAAACACCAGGTAAAAGCAGCAACAAACTAAAGTTGCAACATTCTGGTCAAAACTGAAGTTTTAAAAGGCTAACTAGAAGCTAAAAGTTACAGAATGATGGATAAAACCTAAAAGAAGCAAAATAGTAGCTAAAAATTAAAAGTAGCAAAAGACATAAAAAGGTAAAGCTATACCAAGTATGCTGACTCAGCATTCACACTACGAACAATGTAAAGCAAAATGACGAAAGAAATAGACCTCAAGAGGTAAACTGAAATATTTGCTCAGCACTGTTTGTGTTTAAAGCGTTTAAAAATTGAAAATGATCATTAATAACCCAAATATTGACAAAGATAAAACCTGCATCACAGACTCTGTCTCTTATTGTAAAATACCTTTTTACTCAGCTATTTGAATTAAATGCTTCATCTTCAGCAGTTTGATGCTTGATATGTTTTGATTGTTGGATAGAGATAACAGTTTTCGTCCTCTTACCACCAAAAAAGAGGCGACTTTCTGCAGCGACAGGAAGAGACGGGCCGGCCTGAGCGTTCTCTCCTTCCTCTTTATCCACAGCGAGGGTCAAGCGAGCTCGTCTGGAGTTCAGCTCCACCAAATGCCACTGACCGTCACTGAGAGCAGAACCTGCCAGACAGATGCTCGTTAACCAACCCCGAATACAGTTACATATTATCATGTGCTCATGGCTGCAGATCAAATAAAATCTGTAACTGATTTTATTTAAAAACTAACATTTGCACTTGAATATTGAACGAATCAAACGTTCTGTCCCATCCACAGCAAGTGAGACATGCGCTACATTTCTGTTTAGTCTGCTTTAAATCCCGTCTCTCAGTGAAAGACGGGATTTAAAGGAATACTGTATAGTTGCACAAATCAATTGCAGCAACAGCAGCAGAAGGCAACATCATCCTCTGCGTGATTGACTCGTAACAAACACGAGGCTGTGTCAGCTTTTATCTGAATGTTGTTAGGAATAGATCAATATTTCATTATCTGCTTCTCCATAATGTTAGTGGCAGTGGTTTGATAAAAAAAAAAAAGACTTTGATCATTTTATGATGTCGTGCTGCTCAGAGATCAGTTTAAATACTAGATTTTTTATTATGAACTTATCACATTTGTTGGGGTAAATGTTCTGCACTTGTCTAAGATAAAAAATATAAATGTCTGTTTCATTTACAACGATCTTGACCGTGCCTCTTCATGTGCATTTTAGTCAGTCTGTCGTAATAATCCACCAACATTTCTGCATGAATTACACCCAGGGACATGAATCTGTTTCTGCTCCAGCTGCATTAGCAGCTGTATTCTGACATGCATCTTAGTTTTGTTATATAAATGTAATGTGGGTACAAAGAAAAGGGACAAAAGACGACATTAAACGGTTCATCTGTGAAATGGCACGTTCGGCTGTCGTTACATTCCTGCTCACGAGGACACAAACTGAGACATTTAAACTACCATATTTTTTGCCCTATGAGTCACTTTTTGAAATTTGCACACCCTGCGACTTATTCACCGAAGCGACATACTGTATGTGAGTCAAGGCAGGTGAGCAAATACTTTTGGCAAGGTAATGTATTTTTGTTTTGTTCCCATATTTATAAACTAATTTTTGGCAGAGACATGATCGTTTTCATTCATTCTGACTGAAAATATTGAACACTACCATTTTCAGCCACTAGATGGCACTTGAGTATTATGGCATGCTGTTGTGTCATGTCATAGGTAAAAGTAGCTATTAATGACACAGTTGGCTTGCCATATACCATTTTTGTCCAGCTCATATGGAGCAACCATCAAATCAGCTTCATTTTGCTGCGCCGCCCCGGAGAAATGCAGCTGATTTAACCATTGAAGTGCATTTATTAAGTAAAAGTTCAGCTGAGACACACCTTCACTATGTCGAGCAAACAAACAATTGTTTTTAAGTGTTAAACTTGTTAAAATTCTCCCGTGCACGCTCCTGCGTCCACCATTTGGCAGCCAATCGATTTTTGGCACAACACCGGCTCACATTTCTGGATTTGGCCGACATCTCTGGGTTGTCAGCGGTGACGCCTAATAGATGTGACGTATATGGCAAAATGACATGTTTATGGATTTTTTTCATTTTATTAGACATTTTTGAACTAATGCAACTTATAGGGCGGTGCGACATGTCCGGCGGAAAATACGGTACAAGTTTCTGAAAATGTCCCTGCGTTTATACGGTATGAAAAAACAGCTCTGCCAAGAGCAAATTGAAATACGTCTTCTCCTGCTGCTGTCTAAAGCTGAGCTAACGTTACCAACACCAAGTAGCTTCTGTCCATGTGAAACATAACTTTAAAGCTTTTCAGCAAAAATTTATTATTTTTAGAGCTTGGATTAATATTATTTAAACTTTTAAAAGATTGCTGCTTGTTAAATAATTTAAAAATGCTTATTTTAGACGTCCTTCTAAAACAAGTTTTCCTACTTAACTTGCAGGCTACAGAAATCCAATTATTACAGTAACATAAAAATTACACGCCTCTTTTGATTAAAATGTATTTGTTGTTTAGGAAAGATAAACTGTAAGTTGCATTAAAGTTACTTTTGTCATTGTAAAGTTAAGGCTGACTTGTCTCAGCAGGAGGCAACACATTAATTTATGATTTCCCAATAAAATATTCAAGTTATCTCAACAAGATGATATCACCGTTCATTAAATAAAGACAAGTAGCTGCGGGCTTTGCTAAAAACTTCAAAGGAGAAAGGAGTTATCTTTAAATGCAATAATCTGAAATTTCAACAAATGATATGTAGTTTAAAAGTCATCATGCGCAACATGTAAAACCTTAAATATTAAAACATGCACTATTATAATCTTTACAGATTTTATTAGTCGTGCTGCTGGGAGTTGTGGACAAAGATCTTTATTAGATGTTTTGTTGCATGGGCTGCCATGAAATTAAATATTTTCTGTATTTGAGCATGTGATTGAAAGACTGAAGTCTGACCTGCACTGAGCTCCAGCACCACTTTGCCTCCCTTGTGGACCTGCAGATGGATTCTGGCCTCGTGCAGGTGCAACCAGACCACGCCCCCACGCTGCAGAAGGTCAAAGGTGAGCAGGAGCCCTGCCTCATTCCACGTCCTGAACTGAAACCGTATGGACGCACCCACTGATGGAGACGACGACAGCTGGAGGAAACTCTGGGGGCCGGGGAACGTCACAGCCACAGAAACGGGCTCGGGACAAGAGAAGGTCACGTTGCCCTGAGAGAGAAACGTGCAGCTTAAAGAACGAGGGTGGACAGCAAAAATGATTACAGGAGAGATGGAACAACAGAAAACATGAATATTAATCAGCTGCAGAGGGCGTGTCGACGTGACCTCATGTCACGGTGATTTCATCAGCAAGTCTCCTTAAAAAGGACATCGGTATTAACATAATGATAGCAGCAAAGCTTCGGATTAGATAAGAAAGAAAATACCAAAGTCACCTCACTTGATGGCAAACAAGATAAAAAAATACAATACAATAAAGAGTACTGTGCAGTATCAAACATCTGTGTTACCGTTTATTGTTTTTTGGTACCAATGACGGCACTATTGCTAAAGCTGCAGCAGTAATTTATTGCAGTCATGCTGCTGGGTTTACAGAGCTGCAGAAGCACAGAGGACATCTAAAGGCCCTTTGTGGTGCAGTTAAAAGGATCTACAATAATTCTTGTTAGAGCGGGACGAGCTGCTCCACAATAAAGTAAAAAAATTACCTTGACAACCACAGCAGTGACAGAGCCCTCCTCCACTTACACATGATCTTTTTATATTTATTCTCCCTCTCTGAGCCATGAGAGGAGCTACGTAGTTAAGGTGACCATAACTTTGCAAGAAGTTCCTTTGGAAATTCATAACATCTATTCTCTTCACTCAGAGCTTTAATGGACCCTGCAGCAACTCCTCAACTCGTCTCCTCCACGAGCTTCCTCCGCTGATGTCTGTAAAACCTGCAGGTCTTACTGCGATAATTAGGAACGGAAATAAACTCATTTTCATTGTTTTGACTAAAATCAATCTAGCGACAAACATGAAACCAACTGCAGTTTCTGAAAAGTAAAAGCAAGATTTCTCAAACAAAACCGGATTCAAGAGGACGCAATAAAGTAAAAATATGAGTAATGAATGCGTTTGAATAAAAAGTAACATTATGTATTAGAACAAAAATAACAGACACTCATTTTGAATGTTTAAATCTGCAGCCGCTTTATGATTTCACATTTATTTTAAGAGCATTTACAAGTATCTGTTATTTTATTACTATTTATTTGCACAAATGGGAGATAAAACAAAGTACGCTGTAAAGGTTTGACCCTTTGTAGAGTATTATGAGGTGCCATTTGTTAAATTACTGTCAAAAATTAACAGCAATAATTTGGTTTATTTTGCCTCGCATAAGAAAAAACTTTTTTTTTCAAAGTCATATTTTCACCATGTTACTCATACATTTATAAATGTCATAGTTCCAAAGTAAATATTTAATTTACAAGCTAAATATTTAGTTTGCAAACTAAATGTTTATGTCCAAGCTAAATGTTTAATATACAAACTAAACATTTAACTTGCAAGTTAAATATTTAGTTAGCAAATGAACATTTCCAAATGTCTCTGATGCTTATGAATAAATGTACAAGAAACTTTGTTGGCTTTGTATTTAAAAACATGTTATAGAATTTATTAAACAATATCAAAGCAAAACATGTTCAAGTATTAAGTAGTAAATACAGAATTATACAATAATTCGCTGGATAAGTGAATGTAATAAACAAGCGCTGCATACAAGTAGATTGTTACGGAAGCATTTAACTGCCGTTTAACGTATCAATGATACGTACCTAATGATATGCCATATATCATTGGGCACTTTTAAGTGGGTATACTGGAATTCTTAAGATTTTCTAGTGGGTATACTCCGTTTACCCGCGTATCACGTAGACTACACCACTGGTTAAAAACCTACTTGTGAGATTCCAACCGGAGGTTGGCTTGAAACACTGCAGTGAAGGCTACCTATGGGTCAGATCTAGTTGGCAGGCTGCAGACTGAGGAAGTCCTCTGGATGTGGGACCAAACGTTTCTCCCTTAAAGAAACTGGTCCAGATGACACGTTTTAACCTTTTTGTTGTAGGATTTCTAGTTTTTGTCCTGCAGCTTTTCCACATCAGATGGTGCCAACAAGCACACACCTGTGGACCATTCTGCTAACGAGATGCAGGGGTCTAAATGGCAGTAGATGACTTCGATACGACGCTGGTGCATTATCTGCCGACCAGTAGTTGTGCTCCTGATCTTACGTTTACTGTTTGTGATTTGTGAAAACTAATATCTATATCCTACATGTTGTAGCACTGACTCCTACGTTCCTCTTGTGCCTTGGACCTCCCTGGCATCTTCTCAAGCCTCCTTGTGATCACCCATCCTTGCCTTCTACCACTTGCCCACCAGCATATGTATCTCTCTGCAGTGCTTCCCCTACCATTATACAGGCGAGGTGCCCCACCCCATCAACAGAACTGAGCACCCGCCTACCAAACTGAACTTGCCCCTCCCACCCCCACCCGGCACTGACATATCACTAAGGTAGCGGCGCAAAATACAGGCTCTCTAGCTAAAAAGCCCAAGGCAGCACTCACATTGCCTCTTCCCTCATGTTGAACGCCCCCTGCCCCCGCTCAAAAACTGTTAGTACAGGCTGCGCTCAGTCATGTCTCCATCCCCACCCCATCAGCAAAAATCATGGAAGAGATGAGCACCCCGCCATGGCAAGCTAACTAGGGGAAACACTGCTCTGGAACTGCCTCACTCCTTTCTACTGGAACCATTCAGACCTTTGCTTCTGTGACAACCTTGACTTCCAACAGGAAGAGATTTACTGGACATCAAATCGTTCCTAAGGATCTAAACCTCCTACTAACTCTGATCCTTGCTCTCCAGGGTTACAGTCTCTCCCCGATGATTTTCATCATATTGCTTATTATTCACTTCTTGTAAATAAACATAGTTAAATCTTCCGCTGCTCTTGGAGTTGCTCTTTTTGGTCATTTCCTATCTGGGTCAGAGCTAAACGCTACAAGAAGAGGAAGAACTTACGACGGCAGTAACTTTGTGGTCGCTGAGTTTAGCGAGTTCAATCAGGTTGAGATCATTGAACAGCAGGTTTTCCACGCAGCCGTGGAAGTTCCTCTTGACTGATTTCTGTGAAGTGAGATGCTGAACTGCGCCCACGCTGAGCTGTTGGGAAACAGCAACATGCAAAGTATTAGTCACACAGTTTCAGGAAACATCCCGTCGGTCATTTGGTAACGTTTGGAAGTTTTTCCACATTTGATCTCCTTGTTTATGTTCATGTCATCACACCTGTTGTATGTCCAGGTGGTGGAAGTCTGCAGGGATCTGCAGGCTCTCTGTGTGTTTGTCCACAGTCAGGTTGAGATGAAGATCGTGCAGCTCCACAGCCACGTAGTGCCAGTGCTGATCATCCAACAGGGTGCCGAGTGATGCAAGACGTCTGGGTTCTGAAGATAAACTCCTGCCTGAAACAAAGGAGGAAAGGTTTTCTGGTAAGAAAAGTTTTTCTTCTGCTATGAATATTTTCATAGTTTCATTCTCTGTACATCCTGCCGGGAGGATCACTGCGAGGTCACCATCACTCATCTCACTGGGGTATACTGAATAAATACATCCATACAGCAAAACTGGGGCCAAATATGTTATCGGAAAAACTACAGAGGGAACCCGGAGACGCTTCATTAATGATAGATGAGCACCAGCAGACCCAAATTAGTGATACATTTCTGCATCCCCCACAGAACCGAGAAGAAAAGCTTCTGCTGGGAGAAGGAGGGGTAGAAAGAGCTGAATACAATAATCTATTAAAAATGTATAAGATGTTTGTTTGCGAACAGCAAAGTTAACTTTAGAGAGAAAACAGAAAGTTTGGAAAATGACAGAAACGCTTTGGACATTTCACTGCAAGTACACGGAGAAACAAACGGCTTCAGCCAGATAAAAATGCTGCAAATGCTCAAATGAACAAATGGAAAGTGAAGTTATAAACCGGAGGACAACATAAAATAATCTAGTTCTTTATTTGGATTGATTACTGGAACAAATATTAAGTTGTAGGAGGTTAGACTAGGAAAAGACTGTATAATCAAGTGTCTCCCTGGGAAGAACAAAAATCATTAGAGCAGCATAATTGACAAGAAAAGTCAGAAATAGGAATCAATATGAGAACACAAACGAAGGGAATGAACTGATATTAATACACGAAGCAGCTCTGTCTCTGATCTTTAACTTTGTCTCCTCTGCTGCTCTTTTTTAAATTCACTGAACTTCAAGTGGAAAAAATATGCTTAGAAATATTGTCCACCACTGAAAGACAACAGCAGAAAATGTTCTTGCATGTGTCTTTGTGCATGGTTGTGTACCTTTCTGTTAGCAAAATATCTGATAAACCACTGGGCAGATGGTAATGAAATTTTTATGAGCTAATCAAGAGATAGTCCCCTTTTTTTAGGATTTGGTTCATTTGAGTTTTTTTTTTTTGTGTAAATTTCATTTACTTCTTTTTTTTATTATTTCTATTGTTTTATGAGTTCGGTTTTATTTATCCCAGTGTCTCATGTCCCATCTGTTCCTCTTTCCCAGTCAGATTCTGCTCCTCAGCTGCCCCGCCCACTCTCACATGTTCCTCGTTGTCATTTTGCCCAGCTGTGTCAAATCTTCTCATCAGCCCCGGCCATAAAGTCTCAATTTTTTACTTCATATCAGCCTGGCATTGTGCATATTCCATACCATACCATACCATACCATACCACTTTATTTGTAAAGCACTTAAAAACAGCAACAAGGCCAACCAAAGTGCTGCACAGCAAAAACAAAACCAGCAAAGGACACAGGATAAAATGCATAGAACCAAATAGATAAAGATAAGAACTAAGTGACTAACATTATAGAATACAGACACGTTAAAATCAACTCACACACTGTCACAAGCCTGGGAATAAAAGCACGTTTTTAAACGAGACTTAAAAGCAGTGAGAGACTAATCCTGCCTGATATGCATTAAGTTATTCCACAGTTTTGGACCTGCAGCAAGAAAGCCCTGTCACCTCTGAGCTTAAAACGAGTACCTGGAACCAATAAAAGCATCTGCTGACCTCAGAGAGCACTGTGGGACGTATGGCTGCAGCAGATCAGTGAGATAAGAGGGGGCAGAACTGTTCAGAGCTTTAAAAACATACAGAATGATTTTAAAATGAATTTGAAAGTGAACTGGGAGCCAGTGCAGGGAGGCCAGGACTGGTGTAACATGCTCTCTTTTGCCTGGACCAGTTAAAAATCAGGCTGCTGCATTCTGAACCAGTTGTAAATGTTCAATGGAGGTCTGACTGATTCCAAACAGAAGCGCACTGCAGTAATCAAGTCTGGATGTTATGAAAGCATGGATTACTATCTCAAGATTACTTTTGGACAGTGTGGGCTTCAATTTAGACAGTCACCTCAACTGAAAAAAAAAAGAAGATTTATGAATCATGTTTACACGACTGTTTTAAGGTCCATTTTCACTCCCAGATTAGTGACAACTTGTTTCTCTAGCAGGGCTAGAGAGGAAAGGTCGATACTGGAAACGATGTGACTTCTGCCATGTCATGTCTGCTTCACCTCTGTGGCGCCTCCACATTTCCTGAAGTTGTCATTTGTATTTTTATTGCATTTACCTTTTGTTTAATACATTTTAAAGTTGAAGTTTTATTTGAACTCGTGTTTCTCTGTGCTCCTGGGTTAAATCTCTACAATTCGTGACACTGATCAACCTTTAAAGTCAACTTAACTTAAAACAACAAAAATTGCTCCAATTCAGGCCACTTCACAGATTTTGGCTTAAAAATGTTGGTTGGTTGTAGCTGAGAGTCATTCCCATCACACACTTCAAGCACGACTCAGATGATCTGCTCTAGTTATGTTAGTGATCAAAAAATGGACAGTTCATGACAATGAATTTTCTTAACTGAAAAATTGAGATGCAGAGTATAAAAAGCAAATGTTCTAAGCAAACGAGTCCTTGAACTGGACTGATATTTGAATTTTAAATGTGTTGCCAAAAATCAATAGGTTAGTTCTTGTTGGGAATATAAACGTGCAAAGAAAGTCTTAACAACGAGCGTGCCGGTTGATTTTTAAAGATCAAAAATCAGAGTCCCAGCATCTAGCGCCCCGCTATAAATCACACATAAATTCATTTATTTTGAACTTCAGTAAAAACAGCGTGTCTCTGTGGTGGAGTGTCTGGAGGGCCACAGAGGCTCAGAGAATCACAAGATGTTTGTGAATTTGTGCAAGACGAGGCTGATGCTGAACAAGCACGAGCTTGCTCAGCAAAAACAGAAAAACTGCTAACAACGACAGCATGTTTTATTAAAGAGGTGGTGGGGGGTCAGATCGGATGAGTTGGATTCATTCCTGAAGCCTCTGCTTTAACATTTGTATCTCAACCTGCCTCGATTTTCATTAAACTGCGCGAAAAGTCTGATTACACAGATCCCTCATCAGACGCTGCTGTCAGTTTAATCACCTCCGCACATCATTATCAAACTTTGGAAGAAAAAATATCGTTTTCAAGCAAATTGGTGAGCCATCAGGGTTTGACGAGGTGATCCGTTGTCATAAAATAAAAACCGTCTCCTCATGATTTCAGATCTGCAGATAAAAGTAATTTAAAAGGTACTGGAAATGTGTCACATTGTAGTAAATGATCAGATTGGTATTGCAGAACAAACTGTGCACCAGTTACTGTTGCATATCGCAGATTTTCCTAATTCAGATTTTAGATTCCTGCTAAAAACAGCAGCTTTTCAGTTCAGCTTCAGTTTTATTATTTTTTTTGTTACAGTCTCACTGAATGTGTTTGCAACCAAGTGACCGACGAGATGTCGTCAACTCTAAGATGAGATTTGGACATATTTTTGATTTACTTTGTATTTATCATCTTGGCCTGGGGGCTTTACCAGGGCAAACAGTAATGTAGACATGAGAGCTGCTGTGCACGTGTCAAAACACAGCTCTAGAATCACAGAAACTAAACTGAGACGAGTTTGAGATGGGTGTGAGATACCCGCAACTATTTTGGGATAAGGTTTATTGCAAAAAAAAAAAAAAAACTCTTGAGCTTGTTCAAAGTTCCTGCCACAACACTGAGAGTTTTGACTCATTCTGAAGAAACTGAGACAATTTGGAGATTCCCTTGCACGTGTTCACTAACGAGTTGTTCAGCAGTTTTTGTCACCTTTTAACCCGTCACAGCCTGCCATGCTCCTGGTTTATTTTTCCTGCCAAACTCTGCCTGCTCCTGTCTCTCACTCAGCCCCACTCTGCAATCAAGCTCATGCACCACACCTGTTCACTGCCCTACTTAAGATCCCTTCAGTCCGGGCCAGATTCTCAAACCTTTCACAGAAGTAGAAATCCAGTTTAGCTGGTCTTGTCTCGACCATGACTCCTTACCTGTTTCTGACTCCTTGCCTTGCCTGAACCCTCTTGGACTTGTCTGCCTTTCTGCCCTTGGTTTCTGACTCTGCGTCTTCCCCTCTGACTACGTTTTTGGATCATGAGACGGCTCTGTTTTCGACTCTCTGCTTCAGCGTGCTTGACCCCTGCAACGACCCACGGACCATGATTCTGGATCTCCCTGTTCTGGACCTCAAGTCCTTTTAATCTGCTCCGCTGCAGCAGCTCACTCTACAGGAGTGACGTCACCGGCTTCAGCACGACTAAGGCTTCAGACTCTACATCAAGACAGGAGGTTGGATAAAACCCCAATATCCACTTGCACCTCCTGATCCATTCCAAAGTCACTAACTCTTCTGTCTTGACAGACTGGACCTGGCCCAGGACCCAGACCTCTACCAGAGATTTCCCATTTACAATAAAACTGTTAAACTGCTCTTGGTCTTGGTGTGTTTTGCTCATCCAAACCTGGTTCTTCGCAGGTTTATTCATTTTATTGAAACTTTATTCATGTAGGTTGGACTCAATGAGTCACGAGAACACATTTTCAAGCGAGACCTGTTCTAGACGGTCAACACATAATTTACAGACAACAATACACAACAAAGGAAAATAAAAACAAAAATTAGTGTTATAAAAATATTGTTCGCAGCATGGTCCTGTCAACAAGGTGGTCCCGCCAGTATCCTGGTCCTGTTAGCAGCATGGTTCTATTAGTAAGTTGGTCCCGCCAGTATCGTGGTCCTGTTAGCAGCATGGTTCTATTAGTAAGGTGGTCCCGCCAGTATCCTGGTCCTGTTAGCAGCATGGTTCTATTAGTAAGGTGGTCCCGCCAGTATCATGGTCCTGTTAGCAGCATGGTCCTGT